TGCTTTTCGTCCAAATAATCAGTGGAAAGTAAATCCTTATACAAGAAAGTTAATTGGGGTATATTTATATGTAATCAACGGAAAGTAAATCCTCTATAGCAAAAATTATACTTTTCTATGAAAGAAAGCTAATTAAAATAGAAATTAATCAACGGACAATAAATCCGCGGACAATAAATCATGTAAACCCTCTAATTTATCATAATGTTTTGTGATCCAAAGTTAATGCCATTGACATGAGCAATATAACATGTCCATTTTAATATTTTTCGAACAACCACTGTTTAACCGGAGTACATTTTGTGAAAGTCCTTCAGTATCTCCAAAGGAGAAGGAGTTGAAGTTATATACTCAAAAAACCTTGGTTTTGACCGATTTTTTCTACCTCCCTTCGGGTTGTATTCCTCCTAGAGAAAGGTGGAGTCTTCATCTTATAAGTATGGTGTATTCATCTTAGGCTAGTGTTGTATTCATCTTACAATGGTGGTGTATTCACCATAAAAGTATTCATCGGTACTAAAATTAAATTATTATCTCACTTTGAGCCCAAAAACCATCACACAAAAAATATTTATCTTTTAGTAAAAAAATGTAAAATAAAGTGAAAAATCCTGAGTTACCATTTATCTCAAAGCAGATAAAAGTCCCGCAACATCTCTCTATATTACAATGTTAATACAATGTAGCAGTGCTTTACTTATTAAAATGGAAGATCTGATCTGCAACGGAGTTTCACCATTTTAGTCTCAAGAAGGACTGCCAACAAGGTTTTTTAAAAGATTTCGATTACTGTCAACTTGAAGAATTATTTTTCACTTTTATTCTTCTAAAACTCTATAGATCAGCTGTATTTTAAAACTCTTTACTATAACTAGCGACTGACAATAAATCTTGGTAAATTTGAAAAAAGACAAAAAACTATCCTTTTCGGGCAGCATTTTTCATGTCACTGAATAATATTTTATAATACGATCGAAATCAAACATTTGGAGATCGATAATAATTGTCGACAGGTAGATCGAAAAGCATGCGGGAAAAAGCTTCTGAAAATTTATAGTAAATTTGGAAATTATTTTCCTGTTTTTTCCTCAACAACTTTCCAAAATGAGAATACAGTAAAAGTAATAGCGGATTTCCAAGTAAATGTTTCACAAAGTCGGAATAAATTACCACAAAGGCAATAAAAATAAGAAGATGACTAGCTTTTCTTCTTTATCATGGTTGTGATACCGCTGAGTATGACGCGAAACACCACTTCTTTCATAATCAAATAGAGAAAATTCAATTACTCTTTTTTTTCTGCTGTGCTAATTTGAAACAACCAAAATTTCTCAGTTTTCTGATAAATTTTAGTAACAATTTGATCATAAAAAATGAAAGAGAGAATCATGATTTCTTTTAGCATAGAAACATATCACCCTATATGTATATATATCTAATTAGACAGTAAAACAAAGTCATAAAAACAAGAAAAAAGCTAAAAGCACATTTAATATCTGTACAATTTGAGAACAAAAATGTCACGGTAAAAGTTGAATCAGGTGTATAAATTGGTAAAATACACTAATTGATCGATCTAAATAAGAAAATAATGTTTTAAAAAAATGAAACTTTGAAAAAGTTTCAAGTTAATATATTAATTCAGAATAATGAGACGATAGCACAAACTTTTCGAATTCACTCGTTAGAAGAAACCAAACATAATGGAAACGCACTTCAAGCACATCAATTTGTTATTAAACCTATGTTAGCTTTTTTAAACTGACTCACAGTTTTAAAACAAATGGCCATTTTTTTTCTCTCACACCTTTGATATTCCTTGTTGAACAAGCGTGCCAATAAACTCAAGATTATCTTTCATCTGTCGAAGATTTTCATTGTACATTTGCCATTCTTGTTTACTTGATGCAATTGATACTACACGATTTTGACTAGATTTATTTTCATTTATAATTAATGATGATTCAATGACCTGTATAATCAATTATGAATTATATTAGAAAAAATGTCATCAATAACAAATAGTACTGAATACATACTTCTTGTATTAATGGACGATTCATTAATGCTTCAGCATCCGAGATTGTAATCTGTTGTGATCGCAAATTATCGATAATATTTTTCATTTCAATGATAACCCATTCAAAACGATTTAATATTTCATTTCGTACATTTAATAAATCACGATATTCAAGTCTGTAAAAAAAAGAAAAACGAAAATAAATAAGCATAAATAAAATTTTGATCAACTTTAATTGTTTATACCGCTGAATTTCTGCCATTTTTCCATAATATTGTTCATAATATGAATTTGAAATGTTATATTGAGTAAATAATTGATCTCGATGATGAATACATGAATCAGTATATAAACGAATTTTCTTAAGAAGTCTCTAATGAAGAAAAAAGAGATGAGACACAGTAGAACAGAGAGTAGTCAAGTATAAAATAATTCTGTACTTGGCGAGATAAAAAGCTAGAGCTATAAAAATTTGAGCATTCATTTTAAAATAAAGGTGAGATGTTCTTTCTATTCTCTCATTCCATACACCATTAGAGTGTGTTCCATCCTGAATGCTTCATCGTACCGTTCATAACTTTAGACTTTACACTTGACGATGAAACTATAAAGTTGATAAAAAGGTTAAGATCATTGTACGCACATACCGATCGTGATGAATTTTTGATACAGGGATCGGTTTGAACACCTCTACTTGTCAGTTGAGAAGTCTAGAAAAGAGAACATTGTAGAGTGCACTAGCCATAAGCATCGACTACGTGAGAAGCATTCTGATTTATCAGAAGGTGTCTGTTTTCCAACAATAAACTTACCATTTCGACTGTTTTAACATCACATGACGTCTCACCATTTAATTCAAAACTCTCTGTAAAATAAGAAAGTGGAACATAAGCTCTTCACGGTTAATATTATCATAAACTGTAAAAATAAAAAAAATTCTGACAAATAATATCAATTGTCATACTTGTACGCATACTCTTGTTTCTTTCTTCATTTCCTCTCCTTTTTTGACAAATACTTTATTTCACAACATTTCTGTGGTTTCAGCTGTTGATTCATGTATATTATGTGTACATATAATGTATTTCTTTACACAGTAAAATCTTGATTATATATTTTGAGTGCATATGTATAAATTACATACGATATTAATGAAAACGTCAAGTTGAAATTCAAATGACGTATGAGTTTATCTATTCGTTTTTTTCTTTTCCTTCATTCTTCTCAGACAAGGTTAACAATTTCATTTAGAAAATGAGAAAAAAGACCTTTTTTCTATTGTGATGTTACATTTTTTAGACATACAACAAAAACGTGTAAAAAATATTCAACAAAATTTTTATTGAAACTCCACATATTATTTATCCTTATTATTTAAAATTGAATTAGAAGAGTGTTATTTGATAGTTTTGATTGCAACATAATATCGATAAAAATTCAACAAAAAGAAAAATATCGTCTTCTTTTCTATGATTATTTTTGAAGATATTAAGCGTTTCAATATACTTGAACTTATGAAGCTGTACTCGTCACACGCGACTAGACTTCGTTGTGAAATAATAATATTTGTGATTTTTACTTTGTCTGATTTTAGAAAGGTCTCGATCGGAGGAATATGTACTCCAGTCAATGTATTTGAACATAGATACCCGAGTTAGGTATCTTGCTACAAGAATATCATATGTGCTTGCAAGTAAAATATTACTTAGCAGGTACTTAAACAGCAGGCCATTTTAGGTGATCGTGTGACGATAAAAATGCAGGTCATTCTTGTAAGCAAATGTTTGCTTTTATACATGTGTGGACGCGAAACAAAACGGTGAACGGAAAAAATCTGGTGCCTATACTGCGCCCAGCGCAAGTAATTAAGTACCTCTCAAGTAGGCATGAGTGGTAACGGTAAAGAATTTTTTTACAGAAATTTACCGCGGTAAAATTTTTAAGTTTTTACTGTGAGACGGGACCGGTAATAAAATTACTTTTACCGATTTTTTCTTGGAAAATTGATTTTAATTCATATATTATTAACAACGCTGTAGTCATCGGTAAATTACCGTCAGTAACGGTAAAAAAGTTTTTTACCGAACTTTACCGCAGTAAAATTTTGAGATTTTTTACCAGTTTCAAATTACCGCGGTGAAAATTTGAAGTTGTTACCGAAGCATCGGTAACGGTAACACGCTTTTACCGTTACCACACATGTCTACTCTCAAGTAATATTTACTTGAAAAAAGTTCAGGCACCTATGACATTCATGTAGCAGGATGCTCGAGCAAGTACTTAAGAAAAATGTAAGTATTCCGGTGGCTATCGTTAAGTACATTCACTAGGGTACTCTCAGAATCATACTCATTCTTATCGGAGGGCATTCGTAGGAAAAGTTTTACTTATTAAGACGAATTTTTACCAACTTACCTTGAACTGTAGTACAAGGAACGGTTTATACAATTCATTTTTATGCAAAAGAAATATCATAGTACCATTATAATGTAAACATAAGATCTAGAATACCATATTTTATTGGTATACGTATTCTAGAAAAAAGATGATACTCAGCAGCTAATCCATTCTATGAGTTGAAAATAACAAACCCATTAGCTTTCTGTTTATGCGCACAGATTGTTAGATATGTGTGAGAAAGAAAAAGATTATCCGATCTTTTACCAATATATTACATACGATTTTTTCATAAACCCTCCCAGAATAAAAGGCCATGCCCTTATACACTGTCTCAGTACATTACTACTTTTCGGGTGGCCTTCTGTTGAGCGTCAGTTTTTAGCCAACTATTAATAATAATATTTTTAAAATTTCAATAATTAATTAATTTTTTAAAAGCACTTTTCAATGAATAAGTGCGCTCTTTTGTGAAAAATACACTATTTATGAGAACACGGATAGAAATTTCGCGAAAATCCCTAAAAAAGCAGATATATTTTTATAATTATTAATTAATATTTATTAAAAATATTGAGTTTTTAGAAAATATTAATTAATAATAATTAATAAATGCATGGCCTACTATTAGGGCGTTTGAACTTTTCCCCG